ACTGCCTCCCTGTGTCTAGGAGACAGGGCTTCACTCCTCCAAGCACCTCTGAAGCCCCAGCCAGAAGCCAGGCATGGTGGCACACACCTGTAACCCTAGCACTCTGGAGGCTGAGGCTGGAAGATTGCCAAGAGCTCTACACCAGTCTGGGCTACTCAGTGAGCAGCCCAGTAGCTTTGAGTTCAAAGCCAGCTGAACTATACAGCAAAACCCTGTCTCCAAAGAGAAAAAAGAAAACCCAGCAGGAGAGCTGACTCTGCAGGTGCCCCTTTCCTCCTCTTATAACCAAGCCAGACCAGACAGCTACATGGCACACAAACACCAGCCTGTGTGGACAGCACTGTATCGACCAGATCTGGCCAACAGGAAGCAGCAGGCACCTGAGACAGGCAGGCCTGAGATGCGGAGACATAAACAAACCCCAAGGACCCATCCTCAGGGGAATTTTGTGGGGTGCCATGGTCTGGGGTACCATGGTACTTTGCCTCCATGATGAAACCCAGCTATTACTCCAATAGCACGTACCACAGAAGACAACACAAGGAGCACACCACCTTCACGCACCTTCCATTCATCCCCCATGTACCCTAGGCTTCCTGACAGGGAGCTCAACAGCAGGTGCAGGAACTTCTGACCTTCCAGATCCAATGAAACCTGAACTACACCTGCCTCTGCAAAGGATGACAGGAGAGTCCCAGGACATCTTGGGGCTGGGGATATAGCTCAGCAGCACAGTGCCTGCCTGGTAAGCACAAGGTCTCAAGTTCAATACTTGGTACCAAAAGAAAAAAAAAAAAAAAAAAAAAAACCACAGCACATTTCAAATTAAAGTAAGCCATGCTTTTCGTAACCACTTGCTCTCCTGCTAAGGAAAACAGCTCTTGGCAGGGAGCAAGTACTTGGCTAAGGAAAGTGAACTAACAAAGTAACTTGCACCCGACCACCAACAAAATATTACCTGACAGACCCAGCCTCAAGGGCAGCTGTACTCAGCAGGGCCCCTTAGGTAGAAATGACACAGAGAAGATGGGGGAGGCGCAAAAGCAATTGGCTGCCTGAGCCATAGGCAGATCCCTCCATAGCTGGAGCAGCTCAACTCCCACCTCCCTTGGCCTATGCTTACGGCTCTAGGGAGTACCTTACTTATAACCAAGGGACTGAGAAGGAAAAAACACTTAAGTCTACACAGCTCTGCACACACACTGGTACCAACAGCCCTGACCTGGGGTTTGGTTATCACTGGGTCAACTGAAAGACAGCCAGAAAGCAATCTACACAGATTCACATGGGACAAGGCCTTCCATCACCTTTCAGTCAGAGTGGTGGCCTGGAAGAACACAGGATGCCTTCCCAGTGTAGGAGGGCTGGCTGAGGGGATGCCTCAAAACCACAGCCTGACCTTGCAAGATGCAGGACACACTGTGTGCACACACCAATCCACACAGTACTGCCAGAGTGGCTCCCTCAAGCCCACGTGCCATTTCTACCCCTGTGAATCCTATTGTTGGGAAGCCCAGCCCAAAGCAAGATGTGGCCAGGTGTGGTGGTGCACGCCTGTAATGCCAGCGCTCAGGAGGCTGAGGTGGGAGGATCACCACAAGTTTGAGGCCAGCCTGGGGTATGTAGTGAGTTCAAGGCCAGAAGGAGCTACATAGTGAGACCCTGTCTCAAAAATAAGTAAAAAAAAAAAAAAAAGAAAGAAAGAAAGAAAGAAAGAAAGAAAAAAAGAAAGAAAGAAGGAAGGAAGGGAGAGACAGAGGAAGAAAGAAAGAAAAAAAGAAAGGCCAAAGTAAGATGTGTTAACCAGAGCTTGTGGTCATGGCTCCACTCTATGACAATTGAGGTGGTCACTATCCCTCTGGTCTTCCTGTGCTCCAACCTAACTATGGACCTACCCTGACTCCAGGGATAATACTAAGTTGCTACCATACACTGGAAAAACGATGTCTAGAACCTAGATGGTTGTCCTGATTTACTGTTTCTACGCCCAGTATAAAAGTTAGTGGACCCAAAAAAGGCAGAACCACCACAGACTCAGACTCTGGAGTTAAATGTCTGGGTCGCTCATCCAGGTAGTAGGGAGCAGGTAAGGTGACAGCAGAGAACACAGCAGTAGGATAGTCCACCCCAAGAGGATCACAAGTTGAAGGCCAGCCTAGTCAATTTAGCAAAACCCTGTCTCAAATAAAAACAGCTGGGGTAGTTTAGCAATGAACTGCTTGCTTACCATGCATGTGGCCCTGGGTACACAGGACCACATTTATTTATTTTCCTAGTATTGAAAAATAAATAAGAAAGACAGTCCTATCTCTGGCAGGTGGCACAAAAACAGGGCACAGAACTAAGTACCTCTCTTCACGTGCTCTCCCCACACAGTGGGATTGGAGGAGTGTTGTCTACATACTAACTATTCTACATTACTGTGTACATGGGAAGAGGCAAATTTCACCATTAAGTCTGTAATGTACAGGAACTCTCAGTGGGACTGAGAGTAAAGTCAGTAATTTCACCCAGAGGGTCCAGTGACCCCCAGAGACCTGTGTCCCCATCCTCTAGGACATCAGTGCTTTGTCAATAGCCCATAAGGGTAGTTCTAAATCCAAACATTTGCTGACCAACTCGGTACTGACCAGCTCAGAAGTAAAACACCACAACGTGCAAAGATCACTTCACAGAAGAGTGACTGCTGCAGCAACGGCAGCAGCTGCACAGGCAGCACTGTAGCTTAGACACACACAGAAAAGAAGCATCCATCCCAAAGGGGGCCAGACATGAGAAAAGAGCAGGAGAATGTTCTGAACACGAACACTGCTATGAAGAAAACGTGACTACACAGATGATGGGCTCTCCTGTGGCCTTGGACCCTGTGAGCACAACCCCAGTTCACTTAGGGCTGTGCCGTCCCTGTGCTCCCAGGACACACTGGTCATGGCCCCTAGAAGCTGCCATACTTAAGGGACCAGAATATATGATTCTAGTATAAAAATAACTCCACGTTCATGTATCTGTGCTACTCAGCAGAATGGCGTAGTAGGCCACACACATTGTTCGCACATTATCCTAAGGAGAGTGAACAGGAAACAAAGGAAAAACCCAAACAATCTGGGGGTGAACTGGGAGTGGTCACAATGACATTCACAACCATTTATCAGACTATCGCAGAGAACATTCAGCAGTTTCCCTAAATAAATAATCCCAATTGGGCCAGGGATATAGCGCAGCAGCACAGTGCCTGCCTGGCAAGCGCAAGGTCCTAAGTTCAGATTCCCAGTACCAAATGAATAAATAAATAAATAACCCCAATTATCCACAGCTTAATGTGTTTTTCATCAGAGAAGTATTTTCCCAGCTGACAAAAAAGAAGAGGCTGATTTCTACAAATTAAAATAGGTGCTGTCTGCTCCTAGCCTTTTTACTCTTGGCCGTAACTTCCTGATTCTTGCTTATTATGAGACTGAATGAGCTTTCAATGGGTCACTGGGCTACATAAAAGAAAGCAGACCTGACAGAGAAAAACATGCTGCAATGCAGGCGGTCTCACACCCAGGGAGAACTAGAGAATATGAGCCTTGTACAGCAGGCTTTCCCTGGCCACTCACAACCACTGACAGGACATGAGTAGAAACGAGATTCGCTCAGGGGCATTTTAAAAAGCCCTTATGTGCATGCCCTTCAGCATAACAGCCTAAGGTGACACACTCTGATTTTCTGCTCACACCGACATCTGAAAACGAAGAGCTAGAAACCTCTCACTCACGATTCCTTGATTCCACAAGCAGACCTAATGTACTCAGGCTGGATTCGGGCCTAACAGGCCACCTGTACAGGTGTACTGCACATTTGGTCTCCGATTAGCATCTGTTCTGAAACAAAGTTCAAAACCAGCATCTGTGACAAGATCTGAGGGAGGGGAAGTGTTTCTTCTATGAATTGTACACTAAGAAAAAACTCAGAACTGTCTACAAAAGCTCTCTCGTGGCTGACCAACAAGGGCTGATGCAGGAGAAGGGAGCTGCAGTTCAATCATCGCAGGAAGGAATGCAATTACCTCATGTATACATGTGTTACAGTTTACGTCTGACTGTCCTCCCAAAGCCTCATGCAGTCATGGGGCAGGCTTCTAGAGTTTATGATTGATTCATGGTCCAGTGTTGGAATTATGGTTAGGAATGCTGCACGTGTCCTGGGGCAGATAAGTTTGCATACAAGAAAGGGGAGGAGAAGAGCCTTGCTCTCTGCCACTCCTCCCTTTTTGCTCTGGTTGTTTTTGCTCTTTTCCGGTTGCCCCCTGCCATGTGCTGCTCTGCCTTGGAGCCAGCCGAGTATGGACTGAAACCTCCACAAACTGTAAGCTAAATAAACCTTCCCTTCCTTAAACTTGGGTGTCGGGTATTTTGTCTCAGCAACAGGAGAAAAAGTAACCAAGACAACACGTGACTACCCAGCTGCTCAGACTATGCCAAGTGGCATGCTACCCTGAAGGCATTCCTCATATCACATCCAAATATCCAGCTTAGCACACTCCTTTCCACAGGCATCCAATTCAGCCTCCAGAGCCCAGACACAGGTCTGGATCTTGCACTGTACTGGAAGCAGGAGTAGTCTCAACCTAAGCCTCCACCAAGGTTGGGAACTCTTCGATCATGGCATCTTTCTCCTAAGAAGAGTCCCAGGGCAGAAGCAACCCAGCCCAGGAAAAGGCAGAAATGTGTCGTTGCTCCTTTTTTTTTTTTTTTTTTTTTTTTTGAGACAGGGCTCACCATGCAGTTCAGGCTGGCCTTGAACTCACTTTATAACCAGGCTGGCCTTAAACTCCTAGCGATCCTTCTGTCTCAGTCTGCCAAGTGCTGGGACTACAGGTGTGTGTCACCACACCTGGCAGAAGCTGCTTTCTAAGAGCATGGCTCCACAGGAATCAAGAATGCACACCTCCACTTCCAATGAGCCTGTCTGCTGATGGCACCTCCAAGGGAGGCTTGCCTTTCACCTAGGAGGCTCACCTTTTCGAAGAACCCGCTTCTTTGCTCGAATGTCTGTTTCTAGCTCTGCTGCTCTGATGTAAATCCTAACAGACTGTGGGAGATGACGGACAGCTTGGGCCACAACAGCCTTAGCTGTGTCTCCAGGCTGTAATCTGGCTGCTTCTAGCCAGACATCTTCACTCTGGGGCAAGAGAAAAGAGTAGTAAGGGTACGAACAAACTGGGAGCAGCAGGTACCTGACCCCTAATTCTACAGTCAAAGATCTTGGCCACAAATAGCTTTCACTGTAATGCTCACAAATATGGCTACCGCATGTCTGAATGAAGAACAGATTGTATCTTGCAGAGAATACAATTTGGCCTGTAGGCTGTTACTAGCAAAGCAAAAACCATACATTTGCCTGGAAAGTTCCAATTTGTGCCTAATATCCTAGAGTAATTCCTCATGAGGCTTCTTTTACTATCAGTTCCCAGTTTGTGCCTGAATTACATGGGCACATAAAAGATTTCATAGTACTTTTTAAGACTACCTAATCATTCCAAGTCCAAAACATCATGAGCTGGAGTATTTTCCCAAGAGTTAAGCACTAACCTTGTGGTTTCTTAACATTACATGGAATGAAAGACTACCCAATTTAGTTTTCTGGTGAAAGTTACCCTGCTATTAAAATAATGGTGGCTCAACCTTTGCTCCATGTGAAAACAAGCAGAAAAACCTCTTCCCACTGTTCAGTTTCTTCCAAACAACCCTTCCATCTATACAGTATCAAAGCCAAACACAAGTATCGCGCCTGGTAGAGATGAACAGGGGCTCCTCAGGGGAAGCAAAAAACCCTACAAAGGGCTTCACCTTGGGGCACATCTCTGTCCCTTTCATAATAAGGTTCCGAGCTACTTGCAGCTTCCCAGTAACTTCCTCCAAGCGTGCAGAGGCAATCCAGGCTGGTGGGTGATGCGGATTTGTTTCCCGAACAGACTTGAGGAGCAGTCGCGCCTTCTTGATATCACTGCATGAGTGAGAATGCACACAGCATCATGCCACACTAGCAGGGGTACACCCACTACCCAGGAATAAAGTACCCCAGACACAAAACAAAAACTGCAGATTCAATTAGCAGGAATACAGACAACTCAGAACCTAGTCAGCATTATTGTAAAACTATTTAGAACCCCTGCAAACAAAATCTGAACACTAGAGGTCCACATTTAGTAGCTGCTTTCTAGCTCAGTACAGACACAGACTTTGAATATTAATTGTAAAACATTTAACTCTCTTAATGAATGGATAGAGATACTTTTTTTTTTTTTTTGGTCTTTTTGTTTCATTACACTGTTCAGGCTGGTCTTGAGCTCACTTTGTAGCCCAGGCTAGTCTCAAACTTGGAAGGATCCTCCTGCCTCAACTGCTCAAGCATTGAGATTACAGGTATGCGCCACCATGCCCAGCTTGCACACATTTTAAATAGAAAATCAAAGATGGACATGGTAGTACACAGCTGTAGTCCCAGCACTAAGGACAGTAAGGCAGGAGGATCATGGAATGGAGGCCAGACATTGCACTATAGCAGTTCCAGGCCAGTCTGGACTATATAACGAGACCCTGTGGGGAGGGAGGGACAGGGGGAGGGAGAGAGGAAGGGACAGAGGGAAGGACGAGGGGAGAGACCAAAATACTACTTTTCTCAGAATGTCTACTTTGTTTTGAGAGAGTCCCACTGTATTGCCCAGGCTGGTCTTGAACTCCTAAGCAAGTGATTCTCGTTTTGGTTGGTTTTTTTTGGTTTTTTTATTTATTTTTTTAAAAGACGGAGTCTCTCTAGGTAGCCCAGGCTGGCCTCACTCACGATATGCCTGGCTCAGCCTTTCAAGTGGTAGGATTACAGGCATGTGCTAGCACACCCAGCTGCGTCACATTTTGAATGTGTGTTTTCCAAATAAAATCCAAAATACTCTAGGAAACTAGAATTCCCATCCCAACCTATCAATTCTGAAAAGCACTCACTTGATGTCCCCTCCGTGGGTCGGGATCATAGAGTTTAGATCTGTCAGATAGCCTTTAGGGTCTACAACAGTCTGTCCACTCACCGAGTCAGATACCTGTGAGACCAACCAGGCTGAGAATCAGGCAGAGGAGACTAAGAATGTCCAAAACAAAGTATTCACAGAGTCCCTGAAACCTCTGTCCAGAGCCCTGTCACCAGTGGGTAGTCAGAAGACACGAAGAAAAACAAACCAGATACAGTGGTGCACACCTGTAATGCCAGCATTCTGGGAGGCTGAGGCAGCCAATTTCACTATAAACAAATGTAAAAGCATTGTCCTTTACGGTTTCAGATGTATATGTCAGAGTTAAAAAGGATTCTAGGGGCTGGGGATTTAGCTCAGCAGCACAGCGCCTGCCTGGCAAGCACAAAGTCATGAGTTTGATTCCCGGTACCAGAAAAAAAACGGAAAAAAAAAAAAAAGGATTCTCTACTTTTCCGGGCTCCAGCCCCCAGTCTCTAGAGCCAAGCACAAATTCCCCACAGTCACACAATTTACTGGGGTACAAGAAAAAAAAATCTGATTCTTACATAAAGAGCAAAGGATGGCAACAGAGCACATGCCTCAGGGTCCCTATCACCTGGGATGGCCTTCAGTCCCTGAGGGGAAGGCAGGCATATCTCAGAGGGCTGGCCCTTTGCCCATGACACTGGGTACACTGCGCCTGTATGGCCTATACATAAGCACAAGTACTGGCCTGCACACAAAAGCTCTGTCTCTTTGTGACAGAGAATCTTTTCATGACAAAGCACTTAAGGAAAACTTTGCACATTTCTGCTTAGAATCTGTTGATTCTGCGTTGTTTTTTTTGAGACAGGGTCTCACTATACAGTTCAGGCTAGCCTTGAGCCCTGAACTCGTTATGTAGCCCAGGCTGGCCTCGAACCTGTGGCAATCCTCCTGCCTCAGCCTGCTGAGTGCTGGGATTACAGGTGTGCACTATCACACCTGACTTTTTGAGATAGGATCTCACCATGTAGCCCAGGCTGGCCTCAAACTCATGGTGTTCCTCCTGCCTCAGCCTCCCAAGTGCTGGGATGCACCATCATGCCTGGCTTCTGCTGTTTTTTTTTTTTTTAAACAAATATACTAAATTTTATCATCAGACAACAAAAATGTTAAACACCATCTGTAGGAAAATGCTACATGATGAACTCTCACCTGGCTCAACCTCATGTCCATCAGAGTGTTCCTCGCTTGCCCAATCTTTCTCATGTCCAACTCCCCTGTGCCAGGTGTCATCAGGCCCGGTGTCATTCCACCTGGGTATGGAGTGTTCAGCCCACCTGGATAGGGTGTGTTCAGACCTCCAAATTGCTGGGGGAACAATAAAATGCAGCTTATATTTTCACATGCTGTAGAAACTTGTCTTCTGTGGAATCTTTGCAGGTGGCCTCACACAGCTGCAAAAAGCCTTGGACACAGCACACCAGGGAACTACGGAAGTGTCCTGTCTAACCAAACCAAGGAGCCCCATTCACCTTCTTATCAGATGCTTACAGTTTGCCGGGGATCCACAGAAGTGTGGTTCTCTCCTGTCTGTAAATGTTTGGCGAAAAAGCTATCCGGAACAGGGGTCAGCTTCTCATAGCGAGGATTCCGCTGACGTTTGTTTCTGGCATCACCGACCTCTGGGATGCTCAGCCACTCTTCTTCTGTGACCTCTGCCAACTTTCTCTGAAACATGCAGCCCCAAACTGTCAATCGCCTGCAGGGTTTCACACTCAGGCAGGTCATGCTCAACCGCCCCACCCTCCAGGCCATCAGGCCTTAGAAAGGACTCTGATGTAGACATCGACTGCTTTAGAGAAATCAACTTATGGGATATGTTCTAAATCACTACAATGTAAATTATTCTGTCAAAGCCTAGCCTGTAGTCTTAGCTCTTCAACAGCTGAGATAGAAGGATCACTGAGCCCAGGAATTAGAGACCAACCTGGGCAATGTAATAAGATGTTAAAATTAAATTAAATTAAATTCTTAAAATATATTTGTTATATTATAAATTATTATTTGTAATAAATAAAATAAAAATAAACAAAATAAAACAATTGTACTGAGAATGTGGCTCAATAGTAGAACCCTTGCATAACATGTGTTAGGCTCTGGCTAGGTCCCCAGTTCTATGGGGGATGAGGGGAGATACTCCATCTATCTACTCACTTTGAGATCTGAGAACTGTTGCTGGATTTTGGGGCGTTCCATACGGTATTTCTCAATCTCTTCTTTCTCCCTTTGTTCTCTAGGAAATAAAATATGTACCTGTATTAGAAATACTGAATGTTCATTTCAAAATGAAGATGGTTTGCTATATGTCTTAATTAATTTACCAAAAAGAACCATTCTGGGCCAGGGACATAGCTCAGTGGCTTAAGCGCCTGCCTGGCAAGCATAAGGTCATGAGTTCAATTCCAGTACCAAAAAAAGAAAAAGAAAAGAAAAGAAAAAGAACAATTCCACACACTTAGCAGCTAACTCAAATATATTTTAAGAGAACCATGGATTCATTCATAAATCTAGTAATTCAATTATCTACTATATGAAAACAGGCAGAAATTCAATAAAATAAAAAGATATTCTTTTATGTTATATCACAATAAACCTATCATAAGCTAAACATTAGCCAGGCATGGTGATGCACACCTGTAAGTAATCCTAGCACTCAGCTGAGGTAGGAGGAACACCATGAATTCGAGGCCAGCCTTGGCTACATAGTGAGTTCAAGGTCAGCCTGGTCTACAAAGTGAGACCCTGTCTCAAAAAAACCAAAAAATTTTAAAAAGTAAATAAATATTAGCTAAACACCGTATGTCCCCAACCAAAAATGCATCTAACATCACAGCTCAGCTACACAGTACACAGCAGCAAGGCAGCTGTTTCCCCTTGTGAATGCATGGCTCACAAGGTGCTGCAGCTCACTTGATGCCCAGCATCTCAATGGAAAATCTTATTTGCTGCAGAAAAGATCAAAATAGAAAGCATGGTTTCTACTGAATGTGTATCACTCTCCCACCATCATAAAGTTGAAAAATTATGAGCCAAACCATTAAATCAGGGACTATGTGCAAGTGTGTCCCTTAGAACACAAGTACAATGTATTTGCTGGTTTACACTTCACAAAACCCTAAAGATAGGGCCATCCTATAAATACCTACCTCAGAAGGAAAAGTGAAACATCATCCTAGTTCTCTTCTGGCCCTCTACTTATCTCCTCTCTTCCAAGTGAACAGTTCACCCCTAACAAACAATAAGCCATTACTCAGCTACTCTGTCCCACCTGCCTGGGCAAATGGTTTACATTATCATCCGCACAACTGTCCTTCAGCGATGCAGGGTTAAGGATAACTGACAACTAGGCCTACACTATCCTGAACATAATAACAGCAAACTGTGGTAAGGGACCAACCATGTTAACTTACCACAAGCTGGCATGAACCAAGTAGTGAATACTTTCTAAATTTAAGTACTGAAATTAATTTTTTTTTTATAACTTAAAAGAAAAACACCCACAAATAGGAATCTAAATGTATTAAAAATGGTCTGGGAATGTAGCTTAGTGATACAGCACTTGTCTAACATTCATAAGGTCCTTGGTTCAATCCCCAGCATCAAGAAAAAGGAAAAAAAAAATTGAAGGCTATATTATGTAAATAGTGTCTTGGAAAGGCCAATATTTCTACAAGAACTAAGTGGCTGGTACCATGGCTCCTGATGTGAAAAAACACATACAGCCACATCTATCAGGTTTCCTAGCCAAGGATGTTCTACCCAATTTTCACCAAGTCTCAGGTCCAGCCTCTACTCCACCGGAAATAATAAGAGGACAAATGTTGGGCACAGTGCTCCACCCCTACAATCCCAGCTACTCGAGAGGCTGAGGCAAAATCACAAGTCTGAAGCAAACCTGGGCAATTTAGTGAGATCCTGTCTCAAAATAAAAAATAAAGCCAGGCGTGGTAACACACTCCTGTAACCCCTACACTGGGAAGGCTGAGGCATGAGGATCAAGAGTTCAAGGCTAGCCTTGGCTAAACGTGGAGTTCAAGGCCAGCTTAGATTGCATAGCAAGACCTTGTATCAAAAAAACCAAAAATAAAAAACTTAAATTTAAAGATAAAAAGGGCTGGGTATGCAGTTCAGTGGTACAGTACCCCTGGGTTCAATTTCCAGAACCACACATACACACAGACACACACACACACTCACTCTCTCTTTCTCTCTCTCTCTCACACACACACACATGCACAATTTAAAGGATACCCTGAGGAAACAAGTAGCCTTTTTTTTGGGTCTTTTTGAGACAGGGTCTAAATATGCAGTTCAGGCTGGTCTTGAGCTCATTTTGTAGCTCAGACTGGACTCAACTCCCAACGATCTTCCTACCTCAGCCTCCCAAGTGCTGGAATTACAGGCGTGTGCCACCACACCCACCAAGTAGCCATTTAACAATTCAAATTCTTCTACAAAAAAACTTCATCTCAAGCCGGGCGTGGTGGCGCACACCTGTAATCCCAGCACTTGGGAGGCCGAGGCAGAAGGATTGTTGCAAGTTCGAGACCAGCCTGGACTACAAAGTGAGCTCACGGCCAGCCTGAACTACACAGCAAGACCCTGTCTCAAAAAGACAAAAAAAAAAAAAACAAAACAAAACCTGGTCTCTTCAAAATCAATGTCATGAAAGGTTAAAGACGTGGGAAGTGGGGAACAATTCTAAATTAAAAGAGTCTAAGGAAATTCAACTGGAGAAGTGATCCTGACTGACCCTAGCTTAGGGAAAAGCAATTCTATAATATTCTGGGAAGTAGCTGTTGGGTAACAGAATTGGGGTTCATGAGGAAACGGGCCCATGTAGAAGATGGGTATAGGTGTGCTGGAAATGACCCAGCAAAACACTTATAAGTGAAGAACATATGGACAGTAGGTACAAATGTTGAGAATGAGAATATGCATCACTGCACTATTCTTTCTACTTGTTTCGTTGTGGAAGTTTTCAGAATAAAAAGTTTTAAAAGGTTAACTACCTTTTCATTTGAGATAAGGTGTCACTGTGTATCCCAGGCTGGTCTCAAACTAGCAGTGACACTCCTGCCTCATCAATCAATTGCTGGAATCACAGGTGTGTGCACCACACCCGGCTTTTTTTGGCTTTCTGAGACAGGGTCTCACTAGACAGTCTGGGCTGGCCTCAAACTCATGGTGAGCCTCTTGCCTTAGCCTCCTGAGTGCTGGGATTACAGGTATGCATTACCATGCCCAGCTTCCGTTATCTCAAAAAGAAAAAAAAAAAAAGAAGAAAAACAGGCACAGTGCAGCATCCCTTCACCACCACAGAGCGAGTGGTGAAGCCAGTGGCACTGTAGGCCGCAAGACACCTATCACCTGGGTGGCCCTGCTTCCTGTGTGCTCTCCTCCACCCCAGTCATAA